ACTACAGATTTCAGACCCAGTCAGGCATTAAGTCTCTAAAAGCCCTAACATAAAAACTTGACTTACATTTTAAGCAATCTGTAGCTGAAATCTGAAATAACACATACAGTACTTTCACTTTTTTAAAGAGATACAACCAGTAACTGAACAGGAATGAGTGTGGCAGAGGAAGGGGGCAAATCTGAAAATCATTTAGCCATTTAGTAACAAATGAAATTTCACTTTAATAAGTTAGGATTCAGTCTCTGGTAAAGCCAAAATGCCATATCATCAAAACTTCAGAACTTACTTCAAAAAATAGTAAATCTTCCATCATATCTTAAATTCTAAGGTCTTCTATAAATCAATGTTTTCCTAAGGCCCTCAGTAATTCTCTAATTTTCTCCTCCAAAGATGCAGAAAAACCATCACCACTGTAAGTCTCAACTATGTAGTTTTCACTTTTCACCTCAGTAGAAATAACAACCTGCAAATTGTTCACCTCTTCCTAGTGGTTTTGACAGCAAGTATTGAATAATTAAGAAGTGACTGTATCTACTGCCTGGGCATAATTTATAAGTGAAATGGGCTTAAATTTGATACTTGAATTAATGTAAATTAAATATACTTAGGTGACTCACTGCAGTACTAATCTGATATAATGTAAGAGGCTTGAAGCATTACTTTTTTTTAGTTTTACTGAGATGTAATAGGGATACAACATACCACACATATTGAAACAAGCAATTTGATAAATTTTGACATGTACATACAAATTTACTTCTGAAACCCCAATCCTCTTCTTCTGCCAAAAACTCAAATAGGATGCATGTTGAGAAAAGTACCTACCTTCATGTAATTCACAATCTTAGCAAGAACACCAAACTTATATCCAGAGCTTCCTGATAGAGCTTTCAAGTTAAACGATCCATTGCTATGATCTGGAAATGAGGTTCAAAAAACAATTATAACATTGTCATAATAGATTTAATTTTGACTTTTAAGCAACTAAGAGGATTTTTAACTCTAGTAAAATATTTGTTCTGCATTTTTCCATCTAGTGAATTCTACCCTGTAAAACTCTGGTAAAAATTCAAATCTATGAGTATATAATAAGCTTATTAATTTTCCCACCAAAGATAGGAATAAAGTATTAAGAATTCAAAAGCATTAAAATACATTTCTTCTGGGGTGTTTGGGGTGGCTCAATTGGTGCAGTACCCGACTTCATCTCAGGGTTCCTGAGTTCAAGTCCCACATTGGGCAGGGAGCCTACTTAAAAAAAAGTAAAATACATTTCTTCCTTAAGTACCTTTGTCTCACTGTTCCCTTAATTATGATTAGATTTATCCCCAAGATTAGAAGCATGGCTTTTTAAACAAGAGGACAACACAAATCTCAAACTGATGCGAAGAGCTTTTCTAACAGACTTAAAACCATGAGAAATGAGTGAATTACTTCCAAGGGATAAAAAGTTCCACTTATCACCTATTACATCAATTTCTGCCTCTCAGCTTAAAACAAATGGGAACTAATGGGGATTAATAAAAGAAATGATACCATAACTAAACTTTAGAGCTTGATTAGGGAAAAATATTAAAAAAAAAGAAAAAATTCATAGGCAATGACACTGCATAAACATGGATGCTTAAAAAAGGACGACAGCATGAAACAAGGAGCAATCTGTACTGACGACAATTTATTTCAGAAATTGTACCATTCTGTTGCATTTTATAGGCAGAAATCCTAATGCTACTATGAATCACAAGCCCATTCCATTAGTCATAAGGAGGAACAGTTTAAAAAAAAAAAACTCATAATTACTAGAAAAACATTTCAGAAGTACACATTCTATTAACAAACCATCAATTCAGATATATTACGTTCTCTTGTGGCTGCTGATCCACAAAGGAAGAGGTTAAATACAAGGTGGGGCGGGGGTATCTCTGGCACCAGCTTGGTGGTAATAATTAAAAAAAAAAAAAAAGAATTCATTAGAACAATGCAAGTCAAATGTGACAATTGTCAGAGAGCCAAAAGAATAGCTTTTAGATGGCAACATAATAATTCTGAGATTAGTCTGTAAAAAGACTTTATTAAATACAGTTTTTGAGACTAAAATGAGGCTTGATATGTAATTTTCCTTTAAAAATATCACTGTCATAATTTGACAACAACTGAATTGGCACATTATATCCTGCTATGTTTCCAAAAGTGGTATCCTGGATGCCTTACAGGTATGCTTTCACATTTATTCTTTCAATTATGAAATACTACCTACATGGTTCATTTTCCCAAGGTGTTCAGAGCATTTTAACAATAAAAGTAACATTTACTGAACACTTATTATTTGCCACGTGGCATGCTAAATATTTGACTTTCTCATTTAATCCCTCCGAAAAACTCCCATTTAGGAGGTATTGTCCCCTTTTAAACATAAGAAAAGTAAGAGTACTAAGCAGAAGAACGCAGATTCAAATTCAGTAGTAAACGCTGTGATACTGCCTTGTTTAAGAATCATTAACTAGTCTTTAATATAGACTATGCCATCTGAAACTGGCTATTATTTTTTCAGAGTATAAAAATGCATAAATGCAGATGTTTTCTTATTTAACTTTGATAAGATATTAAGTTTATCCTACATAAACTATTGGGAACACTATGAAAAGCCAAAGACACCATGCTAAGACCAGGCACTCTACAAGTGCCCGATCATGAACTACACGCACTTTTATGTCTCACGGAGTCCCGAACATTCAGCCCAATGACAAGCAAAGTCAACAGTAAATATTAGCTGAATTAATGAAGACAGTAAGAGTATTTTTATGCTCCCTTTTATGGTCCTAGAAACTAATATGCTAATTTATCTGTAATTTTATAAAATAATGTGGTGACACCTGGGTGGCTCAGTCAGTTTAGTGTCTGACTCTTAATTTTGGCTCAGGTCACAATCCAGGGTCGTGGGATTGATCCCCACATGGGGCTCTGCACTGAGTGTGGAGTCTGCTTCAGATTCTTCACGCCCCGCCCCCACTCCTCTGCTCCTCCCCCTGCTCACACCCTCTACCTTTAATAAATAAAATCTTTAAAAAAATAATGTGGGTCACCTGGGTGGCTCTGTGGGTTAAAGCCTCTGCCTTCAGCTCAGGTCATAATCCCAGGATCAGGGGAGGGAGCCCCACATCGGCTTCTCTGCTCAGCAGGGAGCCTACTTCTCCGTCTCTCTCTGCCTGCCTCTGCCTACTTGTGATCTCTGTCAAATAAATAAATAAAATCTTTTTTTAAAAAAATGTAAACTATAAAACAAAGTTTGCACAGCAAGCATTTACTCAGTCTGCTGTTGCTATGATAGCCACTCCATTATTTATTTATGTATTTATTTATTTTTAAAGATTTTATTTATTACAGCAAGAGAGGGAACACAAGGAGAGGGAGTGGGAGAGGGAGAACCAGGCTCCCCGCCAAGCAGGCAGGGAGCCTGATGCTGGGCTCGATCCCAGGACCCTGGGACCATGACCTGAGCCAGAGGCAGGCGCCTAATGACTGAGTCACCCAGGCACCCCCACTCCATTATTTAAAACCTTGATTCTGTTATGCTTGGACCACACACAACTCTAAATAATACACCTTATATAAAAACATTCGATCTTCAAACTTTCACAGTTGAAGATTCTTTTGCCATTTTTTAAAAAAATTTTTGAGGGGTGCCCGAGTGGAACGGTCAGTTGAGTGCCGATCCTTGGTTTTGGCCCAGGTCATGATCTCAGGATCAGGGATCAAGCCCTGCCTCAGGCTCCATGTGGAGTCTACCTGACATCATCTCTCCTTCTCTGTCCTTCTCACTCATGCTTTCAGTCTCTCTGAAGTAAATAAATTTTGAAAGAAATTAAAATTTAGGGGCGCCTGGGTGGCTCAGCACGTTAAAGCCTCTGCCTTCAGCTCAGGTCACGATCTCAGGGTCCTGCGATCGACCCCGCATCAGGCTCTCTGCTCAGCGGGGAGCCTGCTTCCTCTTCTCTCTCTCTCTGCTTACTCGTGATCTCTGTCTGTCAAATAAATAAAATAATCTTCTAAAAAATTTTTTGTTGTTGTTGAATACAGCTGACAAACAATGCTACATTAGTTTCAGGTGTACAACATAGTCATTGAACTTCTCTATAGATTATGCTATGCTCACCACAAGTGTAGCTGCTGTCACCATAAAACACTATTATAGTATCATTAACTATATTCCCTATGCTGTGCCTTCTATTCCTTTTTTACTATTTAAATTTCACAGACTGCTTTTTTTTTTTTTAAAGATTTTATTTATTTATTTGATAGAAAGATCACAAGCAGGCAGAGAGGCAGGCAGAGAGAGAGGAGGAAGCAGGCTCCCTGATGAGCAGAGAGCCCGATGCGGGGCTCGATCCCAGGACTCCGAGATCATGACCTGAGCCGAAGGCAGCGGCTTAACCCACTGAGCCACCCAGGCGCCCCCAGACTGCTTTTTTAATATCAGTGGTATACGTACCAAAACTAACCTTCTCCCAACTAGTAGAGCTGAAAACCTTTCTTTTCCCTTAGAATTTCTCCTAATTCAAACCACCACATGGAAATAATCACTTCCAGATGACAAAATTTATATATAACACAAGTATGAAAAGAAAATATCATTTATGAGATTTCATGCCCACTTCCTAGAGGAAATACCAAGCTGGTAAACCTGGACTGTTTGTTTCCTAGGTTACTACCTCTCTCAACATTTCCTTTTAGCTCCAGCAGAGAAATACTCACTGAAGGATCTGAAATTTTATGGTTAAACACTAAGAAATCATCAGTTTGTTACTAACTCAAATTCCTCTGCAGAAATTTAGCTTAAGGACAAAAAAATAAGGCAAGAAAAAGAGGTGACAGTTGATATCCCAGACAGCTCTATTCAAGTTTATGAATGATTTACACTTAAGGGTGGCAGGACTTAATGCAAATGAACGAAGAGGAAACTGTCAGCTGCATTGTGGTTCAACCAATAGAAGCACAGCTCCATCTTGGATGTGCACTGGACTGCATTACAAACAGACGAAACCATCGCTTCAACAGCAGCCTTCAGACAAGAGGTAGGTTTATACGATCTCTTTCATTTAGTAATACATGTCCTTATGATGAAATATAAAAATATTTTACTATAAAAACTAAGCAGAAAGCTTTGTTCCTACGAAAGGCCAAAAAAAGCAAGGTATTCATTTCACTGCTTGGTAGGATTTTATTATGAAAATGTGAAGACTGCCTTGTGCTATTTGATAAGCACCCTTACCATCTGTGCCTTATGGAAAATTCATGAGATTTTCTATGAACCTGATCTATATCCAGACCTTAGAGTAAACCATAAACATTTAATGTTAAGTGGTTACTTATGAATTTATTTTTTCTGAGTTGTTTCATTTCAGCAGTTTGGTCTGCCTTAACAAAGGATTTTTCTTAAAGAAAAATCTAGACTCAAAGCGAATCCTGGACTAAAGCTTTCTGACTGTATGTGCAAATTGTATTGGTTGGTAAAAAGCAGTTACTTACAGGAAAGTTTGTTATATTTTAACAAATATGAGAAAATAGTTTAAAACTGTTCGTTTGACTTTGAGTGTAGATGCAGTGAATGCCAAGAAATTGTAAGGATTGTGATTTTTACATAAAAATAATAAGACCGTAAAGATATCATTAAATAGGCTGCATTATACTATAGCCAAAAAGATCATTTGTAGAGCTGCAGACTTTCCTAACATTTTAACTAAAATAGTTCTTTATGGTTAAATTTTAAAATCTATATTACTGTAATACACAAGTCATTCTATTATTAAATAATAACCTTCTTAAACAGCCTTTCACTTTTTATATGCACAAAAATATTCATAACCATATTCAATATAATGTTGAAATTATTCTTCAACTGATTCCTCAAAAGAAACAGAGAGCAAGTCTTTCTGATAAACTACATATAAAAATAAAAATATGTTTTGAGAAGAACTGGTTAAGGGAGGAAGGTATGGTACCTTTCAAGGGTAGGTAATAAGATTACTTTGATGGCCCAGAGTAACTATTCATGTCTACTAAAAATTGGTATCAAATACTGACCAAATTTCTAATTTTGTAATAGTCGAGTATGAAAAATATCATTATTTAGTAGATGCCAGAGTTCCAGGATATTACCCACACATACGGACCTAAAGATCCAACTTCTGCCTTTTCTTTGCTAATAAACCTATTTAAATTTTAAAAGACTATTTTCATAATTTTTATTCCTTCTATTTCTTATTCAGCATTCAGCAGCATGAGTAAACCATTCCTTACAAAACCTAAAGGTTGCTGTAAGAAGAAATTAAATATCTCCAGGTTCAGAACAATGGGGTTAATTACCTAGAAAATATTCCTACTTGCTGTATGAAGTATATGGGAGCCAAAAGAAGTCTCAAATAAATAAACACATTTTGTCAAATAAAACAGTTAACTTGTAACTGAAATTTCAGGTAAACTGTAAACAGAAAGAGCCCCCCCCCCATTATTAGCACTATAACCAGCCCACATTTCCTAGTGATGTATCTATAGTTAGCCGAGATGTAGGGTTATTGCTCTTTCACCAAACTGACTAGATGCATGGCCTACCTCCGAGAGCTCCAGGGCTGGGTGAGCTGCTCTATATTTAAAGGCCAATATGATTAATTGATCATATTTCAAAGTTATATGTTTAAAGACACTAGAGAATTCAACCCAAGGGCTTTTACCATAATTAGAGCAAAAGCATAATCTTGTTCTGATCCGACAATTCAAGGTTCCAGAACAGTATGAAGTCCTATCCCCATAATTATTTCACTAGGATCTTCTGAAAATAGAAGGAAAAATAGGTGAAGAGAATATATAAAAACAAACAAAAATACGGTATTTACTTTAACTCTCCCCATTTCTGTAATGAAATTTCAAAGGGGTGGGGATCCAAAATAAGTACACAAATGATTTTTTTTTTTACCACTTAGTCTTATTTTTCATAAAGCATGTTTATAGCAGGTACTTGATATAAATGTGTATTTTAATTCCAAAAACAGTCTTAGAATATGAGAAAATCCTAATAATACCATCTTTCTGCATGTCTAATTATGTCTACTCCATTAAAGTAAGTTTTAGATTTTACTCTAAATTTAGCACAAAAAATTGCTAGAGCTCTACTGTACTTAAAAAGAATGAACCACATTAAATTTAAGGTACAAAATGACTCTGTATTTCATGGTTTACTTTTTTCAGATATGCCCAGAAGCTAACTAAAGATTGAATGTTTTGAGCTACTCATCAGTTATCAATACACTCACATAAGAGGCAAACTGTCATCATTTACAACACAAACTGTCATCATTTACAACACGTGTATATTCTTCCTTAAACTGCTTAGACGCTTCTAATCAAAATGAGAGTTTACTGATTCTACTTTTTTTTAGAAGTAATCCAAAAACCTCAGTAAGTCTATCAAATAGATAGAAAACACAGATATATAACACAATGTAACACAACAGATACATAAAACCAAAGGCAAGAAATATTTTTAAAGTATATTAGTTAGGGTTTTAGGTTAAGTACTATATTCAAATGGTTCAAAGACTGAAATATTACAAGATGTACCTTGTGAAATCTCACACAGATCTCTGTTTCCCAGCTCTACTCTCCAACCAACCACACATGCAATCATTGTTATTAATTTCTTACATAACTCCTTCCAAAACTTTTGTGCAGAATCAAGCAAATAAAAATGCATATTATTTCCCCCTCTCCTATACATACTGTCCTGCATCTTAGTCTTTTTGACTTAACAGATCCTAGAAATCTTTCAGTATCACCACAGTTACCTCATTCACACACAATTATCAATTGTATGGATATACTAATTTTAACCAGAACAGATCATGATCAAGTTAACTTCAAATACCTGAATTTGGTTTGGGTTGTCTGCCTGCCCCACCTTCTCCCTTCCTTTTCCTCCCTCCACTTTGGTCGGGGGAGACACATGAGAGGGCTTGAAAAAATTTTAAACAATTCACTTGTACCTCAAAAATAAATAGAATATTGGGACACCTAGGTGGCTCAGTGGGTTGAACACTGGCTCCTGATTTCAGCTCAGGGTCATGGGATCGAGCCCCAAGTTGGCTCCATGGTTGGTGAAGAGTCTGCTTGGGATTCTTTCTCCCTCTGTACCTCACATATCTGACACTTGCACGCATGCGTGTGTGTGCGTGCACTCTCACTCTCTCACAAATAAATCTCCTTTGAGAAATAGAATATAATGTCAAAAATTTTAAGCGGTTCACTTGTACCTCAAAAATAAATAGAATATAAAGTCCCTTAAACCAACTTTCCAGTAATTCTAAAATTTCATTTTTTAAAAAAAGACTTTATTTATTTATTTATTTGACAGAGGTCACAAGTAGGCAGAGAGGCAGGCAGAGAGAGAGCAGCAGGCTCCCCGCTGAGCAGAGAGCCCAATGCAGTGCTCGATCGCAGGACCCTGAGATCATGACCTAAGCTGAAGGCAGAGGCTTAACCCGCTGAGCCACCCAGGCGCCACTAAAATTTCATTTTGAAACAGAAACTTTTATTAGTCTTTACAACTTCTCCTCAGTTTTAAAGTCAATACAAAAAAGAAATCCCTACTCATAAAAAGTTAAAATACAAAGTAATAACTTCAGTATAATTTCAACCAGGTATGAGTTACAGATTTATACAGCCAATTTCTAGAAGAAAAGAAACAAAAGTTTGATATGTTAGGGAGACAGAATTATTAGTGAAGCTTTTCATTTTTATTTAAAAATTGTTAGAATGTAAAAAAGGAGAATGACTATAAAATTTCTGAAATCAATAATGAAATGACATTTTAAGTTAACATTAATTAATAAGGTACATTAAACTGGGGTGCCTGGGTGGCTCAGTGGGTTAAAGCCTCTGCCTTCGGTTCAGGTCATGATCCTAGGGTCCTGGGATCGAGCCCTGCATCGGGCTCTCTGCTCAACAGGGGGCGTGCTTCCCCTTCTCTCTCTCTGCCTGCCTCTCTGCAGGCTTGTGATCTCTGTCAAATAAATAAATAAAATCTTTAAGAAAAAAAAAAGGTATATTAAACTAATTTTTTTAAGATTTATTTACTTGGGAGACAGAGAGAGAAAATGAATCCCAAGCAGACTCCCCACTGAGCGCAGAGCCCCACTCGGGGCTCATTCTCACAAATGGGTATCATGACCTGAGCCTCAGCTGAACCCAAAAGTTGGATGCTCAACCCACTGAGCCACCCAGGTGCCCCTACATTAAACTAATTTCAGGGACATAATGTAGAAAGAAATTCCCAGATTTTAAAAAGTAATCTTTTTTACTGGGGCACCTGGCTGGCTCAGTCAGGCACGTGGCATGTGACTCTTGATCTCAGGCTTATGACTTCAAGCCTCATATTGGGTGTAGAGATTACTTAATAAAACGAAACAACAAAGGAATCAACTTGAAAGGCCTGAACAGACAGAAAGTCTAAGGAATATTTGCATCAATGCTGAAGAGGTCCTAGGTTAGCCCAGGTAAAATTAACAGATAGACCCTCCAGTGATTCTTCCCCTGCTCTTTATCTACCCATACAATAAATGGCACTGTTCTCTATTTCTTCAAGATCCTATTCTTCCTCTCCTCCTCTATATGCTGTTTTTCCAAAAGGACCTGAAACTTATTCACACTTAAGTAAAAAATAACTAACAATGTGTGCTACCCCTCCCAGGAATGTCACATTGTAGTCATACTAAAAATTTCAAAGGAGTTCCAAAGCTAAATATTTTTTAGGCATTTGGGTGTGCGTACACACCCATCACTACGCTATTATGAAGACTAGGTCAAAAAGGACTAACATTCTCTCCATTTGAGTCAGTTTCTATGCATTACTTGACTACTTATGTGCATGGTGATTAGAATGAGAAACAGCAACACTGCAGAAGTTGGCAGGAGTGGCCTATCAGGATATCCACATTAGACTCCAAGGTGCACCATCTACAGCGTATTCTATGTGAATGGCACCCTACAGTACAGCATGAATGGTGTTCCCTGGAGGTGTGCAACAAAGCAGCCCCATTTTCTGTAAGAATGCACTAAGGAAAAGAAAAACTTAAGGGATAAAAGAGGGTAACTCTAAAAGGCAGGGTCCCCAGTTTGAAAATACTGTAATATACTGGGAAGTTCCTCATACACCGGCATTCCAGACAATGTATTTTTGTACATCCCCAAACTAATAAAAGCAACTGATTCAATTATTGTCCATTAGTCTGTTGTCCCTTGTTTCAAGATGAAGGATCACCACAAACCATGAAGCTGAAGGATTCTTAAATCCAAAAAGAACAAATAAATTTAAGCTTTTACTTCTGGCCTCAGATCATCGATTTAACCTTCAAAATAGACAAAAGAAGAAAACAAGTCCATCCAGAGAGGTGAAGTTATTGCCAAGCAAATGTGATTTAAGATAAAAACAATAACATGTGGGGTGCCTAGGTGGCTCAGTCAGTAGAGCATGTGACCCCAATCTTGGGATTGTGAGCTCAAGCCCCATGTTGGGCACAGAGTTTACTTAAAAATAGATTAAAAACAAACAAAAACCTTAGAAAATATTAACTTATTAATGTCAAAGTTTTAAAATTACATTTATAAAGAAAAATTAATGATGGCTTTGGGTTTTTTAAAGTCACAGAGTTGGGTTTAAGTCACCTTTTCATCTTTTTTTGGTTTGAAAATGATAATGTGGTTATGTTTAAAAACAGAATCCTCACCTTTTAAGGGATATACACTGAATACGTGTAGATGAAGTGATGATGTCTACAGTTTCCTTCAAAACAGTCTACAGGTGGAAGCAAATGGGTATTGATGAAATGATAATTGAAGCTATATTATGAGCATACAGGGGTTCATCATACTTTTCTTTTTTTAAAGATTTATTTATTTATGGGGCACCTGGGTGGCTCAATCAGTTAGACATCTGCCTTTGGCTCGGGTCATGGTCCCAGGGTCCTAGGATCGAGCCCTGCATTAGGCTTCCTGCTCTGAGAGAAACCTGCTTCTCCCTCTCCCACTCCCCCTGCTGTGTTCCCTCTCTCTTGCTGTCCCTTTCAGTCAATTAAATAAATAAAATATTTAAAAAAAAAAGAAAGAAAGAAACGTACTCACACACACAAGTATCTCCAGCACTTAGAAAACTATTTGGTACACAGGAAGTAATCAATAAACATCTGTTTACAAGAATGAATGAAAATCTACTTACAACTATGTAGTAAAGAAAAATCATGCAAACTAAGTCATTTCTTTAATAAAATAAAGCAAACTGACAATAGTCACTGAATTAACAAAGTGGAATTTTTTCCTCTTATTTCCAAAATTTTCTTAGTATAAAAGCATTTTATAATTTCTTAAAATAATTTTAAAGGACACTTCTGAAGGACCAAGGTAATAAGATCTTCAATCCTTCTGGTGCCATTTAAGGTCTAACAAGTATCAAGTCAACAAGAGCAAAACTTAATGCAAGATACTAAAACTCTGGGATGACTGGGTGGCTCAGTTGGTTAAGCATCTGCCTTCGGCTCAGGTCATGATCCCAGGGTCCTAGGATCAAGCCCCGCATGGGCTCCTTGCTCGGCGGGGAGTCTGCTTCTCCCTCTGCCTGCTCTGCCTGTTCTGCCTACAGCTCTCCATGCTTCTAATTTGTCTGACAAATAAATAAATAAAATTAAAAAAAAAAAAGAATACTAGAACTTTAATTCACTGGTTAATTTTGTGAAATGGAATAATAATTTATTACTCAATACATCTGGGATACTGTCTGTTTAAAATATTCATGTCCACAGACTGGCTATATGAAACAGTTAACACTATCAGATACAAAACAAAAAGAAATCCTAAGATTAAGGTCTCTTCTTAGGCAACTTGAACCTAAAATTTTATTATCTTTATTCTGAAAATTGCCATTATTTAGCTTTTCTTTCTTTAATATTTTTCACTCAGCCACTATTTCCTGATTCAGGTCACCTGTCCTTGAAGTTTAAAAGACTGGAAATAGGAGAGAGAGATACACTGAGCCAACAAGCTGAGAAGGAGCCACACAGGTAATGAGAAAAGCTCTTCAGGAGGCAGTTTGAAGACCACCACATTAAAATGCTACAATTTTTTGTAGTTAACAGATCACTGACCACTGCTTTAGTCAAATTTTAAACCAATTCAGCTTCTTTTTTTCCACTTCTATTAGCAATTAACCTCTATATAGAAATCTTAAACATATTTGTCCAGCAAATGATACACGTAAATATGCAGTACAGTTTATAGAGTATATGGCTGTAAAATACAGAAAAAATTCAAAAATATCATTTGGGCATTCAATTCTGGCAGAAAATAAGATGATTCATGTTACCTACAAAAATTTACTATCAAATATTAGTCCTAAGACTTGAATTGACAAATCTTTAGAATTTGGTTACATATATTCATTTTTTACCTTTTCACAGATTCAAAAGAGCAATACAAGAAGTAGAATCCCTAAGAATGGCCTCCCTGAGCTCCAGCCTCTGGAATGAAACCACTACGTCTGTTTATCAATACCTTGGTTTTCAAGTTCAAAAAATTTACCCTTTTCATGATAACTGGAACACTGCCTGCTTTGTCATTCTGCTTTTATTTATATTTACAGTGGTATCTTTAGTGGTGTTGGCTTTCCTTTATGAAGTGCTTGACTGTTGCTGCTGTGTAAAAAACAAAACTGTGAAAGACTTGAAAAGTGAACCTAACCCTCTTAGAAGTATGATGGACAACATCAGAAAACGTGAAATTGAAGTGGTCTAGCACTCTACTAAGATGAACAAAATCTCTGAAAACAGCCTTCAACTACTGAGAAAAAAGGAAAATTTTCTGAGGCCAACTGTTATTATGAAAATTGACTCTGAATGATTAAAAGATTTCTAAAAGAAGGGAAAAACAAGTCAAATATGCACTTTGTGTGTGTGTATCCCTTTCATTAAATGTACAGTAAAACTTCACAAATGTAAGTTACCAATCTATTTAAAATGATAATTCAAAAACTGGGTAAAAGATTCCCAGATCTCAATATTAAGCAACAAAAGGTAAGCCAGAAAACATCAGCAAGATCAAATAACCCTGATCTAAACAAACCATGTAGACTAAAAAATAAACTTCCCTCCATGTGTTTGGGTAATAAAAATGCTATTTAAAATGTTTACCTAAGTCCAAAGTAAATAATTCCACTTATACATAAAATCCCTACTTATTAAAAAGAAGTATCTTCTAGGTTACTGAGGACAACTTATATATTTTTTAAAGACTTACGTTTTATTTAGGGATTAGTGTGGGAAAAAGTCTCAAAATAGAAAGATCACAAGTGTACTTGCATAAAATTTTCATAAAACTGCCTTACTGTTTAATAAGAAACACATGGTGTAAGAATGGCCAGGCTATTTTCAAACTAAAACTTACTAGCATACCCTTAAGTTGTATTTCCTGAGTTTATTCTTTCATTTTGCTGCTATATCCATATTCTCAAGGGCTAAGATACCCAATGCTGAAAAGACTACCCCCCCCAAAAAAGGTGAAAAACAGGACCATATAACACCTATTAAGAAACACTGTAGTTTTATTTCTTAGAATTACAAGAGCTATAGATATTGTATTTAATTGCCCAAACACTATTTTGCCAGGACCCATGAGCAAACCTAAGCACGCTCTTAACCACCACAACTGCACTTAGCAAGAAATAACATTCCGGAAAATTCACCCTGACAAATTCGTTCAAAAGGAAAAAGCTCAAGATACAAAGAGATTTCTAAAAGCATTACTCAAAATAACAACAAAAAATGGAAATAACACCTTTAAGTATGATAAATCAACTTAGCTTATTAAGCTACTGAAAATTAAGGCACAATTAAGGAAAGAGAAAATATTTGATACAGGAAATGAAAAATACACATCTGGGGACGCATGAGTGGCTTAGTCGGTTGGGCGTCTGACTCTTCAGTTTCCGCTCAGGTCATGATCTCATGGGTCTGGGATGGAGCCCCACGTGGGGCTCTGCAGGGAGTCTCCTTGAAAGATTCTCTCCCTCTGCTCCTCCCCCAGCTCTCCCTCTCTTTCTCTCGCGCTCTGATAAATCTTAAAAAGAAAAATACTTATCTGTCATTTTCAACTTAGAGAACCCTGTCAGTTTGGAATCACTTTTCCACAAAATGTTTTTTCTTTCTATCCTTAGAAATAAACACAAATAATGTAACCAAATTTCAAAGGACTTGCAAAAACTGGTATACAAAGTACTTTGGTAACCAGGAGATATTCTGAGCACCATTAAAACCACATTTTCATAAACCACAAACTCTGGAGTCCTTGCCACACCTGGGAAGCATACAGATCTTTTTTTTTTTTTTTTAAGATTTTATTTATTTATTTGACAGAGAGAGATCACAAGTAGGCAGAGAGGCAGGCAGAGAGAGAGGAGGAAGCAGGCTCCCCGCTGAGCAGAGAGCCCGATGAGGGGCTCGATCCCAGGACGCTGAGATCATGACCTGAGCCAAAGGCAGCGGCTCAACCCGCTGAGCCACCCAGGCGCCCCCATACAGATCTTTAATTGCTAAATTTCTTGATAATGGACACTACTAACTTTTCCTACCTTATGCTGTAATGTATTTAACCATTCCACAAACATGTATTGAGTGCCTCTATGTGTGACAGATTGGGTTACGATGGCAAACAAGTAATCATGCAATTACTATGACACATGATAGCTTTGTCAGAAATAATGAGTGCTTTGGGAATCAAAGGCTAAGCACTGAATTCAAATAGGAAAGTAGAAATAATATGACTTTTAAGCTGCAACCTAAAAGAGGAACAGGCGTTAACCAAAGGAAAGAGGGAAGGAGCTAAGAAAGAATATTCCAGGAAGAGGACATAATGTGGGCAAAAGTCAAGAAGCAAAAGGGAGTAAAGCATGTTAAAGGAGCTACAGGACAGTATCACTAGGCCAGAGTTTAAGAAAAACAGTGAGCTATGGGTATAAAAGGTAATGGAGACCAGATCAGGTAGGGTATGTAGACAGCAGGAAAAGACGGGCTTCATCTGAAAAGCAATGATGATCAGCCTAAAGACAGTGATATCATCAGACTGATGGTTAGAAAAATCACAGATTGCTGTACAGAAAGAGTAGTCTAAAGAAGTTAAGCCAGGAAACCCTATAAGCACCTAATCAGACAATCCACTGGTAGTGACCCAGTCTAGGATGGTACAGTAGTCTTCAGTGTTTACACCCAGGAATTCCTGCTCTCCCTTCTTAGAGCACTTGGGACCCTGTGTGTCTGGGTACAGCCCTGTGAGTAGCTCTAGACAATGAGTTGTGAGAGAAAGTAAGCTCTTACCACCAGGAAAGAGAATTTTAACTGCCAGGTAAGATATTCCAGAGTTCTTTCTCCTCTTGGCACTGAGACCAAAAACATCTGAAATATCGGCTACTCTATCAGCCTCGGTCCTTTGAGTGACTAAAGAGCCAAGAGCCTTGCCAATACATGATAAACATGTGGTATGAAAGAGAAACAACAAATCTTTGTTGTTTTTAAGACACAGTGACATTTCGTACTGTTTTAAAAAAAAAAGAAAGGCGGCCCAAATTAGTGTCACTTTGACCAAATTCCAAAACTGGTGTTTTATACATAGTTTAACCACAGTTTCAAACTCCCTCAGAAATGTAGACTTATCTGGTCAGTCAGGAATTTTTCAGTCAATGCCAAAGAGTATGCCATGAGGACCCTTCTCCATCCCCCAAAGAAAGATGAGGTCATCTACATAAAACCCCTGGCTTTTCTCCCTAGAAAAGGCCTGGCCTAGAACAGTCCTTTTCTTTTGCTAATAACTTTCCTGCCTCTGCCCTCCTTCTATAAAAACCTTCCATTTTGCCGGGCACCTGGGTGGCTCAGTCCTCAACCAGCTGCCTTCGGCTAAGGTCATGATCCCAGGGTCCTGGGATGGAGCCCCGCATCAGGCTCCATGCTTGGCAGGAAGCCTGCTTCTCCCTCCGCCCACTCCCCCTGCTTATATTCCCTCTCTCACTGTCTCTGTCAAATAAATAAACAAAATTTTTTAAGCAAAGGAAAAGAAACTTCCATTTTGCACAATTCCTTGGATTGCCTCTCTATTTGCTAAATGGGATGCTGCTAATTCATAAATCATTTCATAAAGCCAATTAGATCTTAATCATTTGGTTGAATTGTGTTATTTAGGAGGAGCAAAGATTGTGCGTGTGTGTGCATGTGCGTGCACGTGCCAAAGGCAGTTTTATTAAAGCCTGAGAACAGGACCCCTGGGCAGAAAGAGCTGCTGCCAGGAGCAAAGATATTCTTAACCAGATCAAAGAGACTAGGTCTAAGACTGGGTCTGTGCTAATGTTTAAACAGTGTACTACAAATGTACTATGAATTAATTCAATGTACATTTCATTGGAACGAAGACAAAATCAACTTAATGTATGTGCTAATAAGACTGACAGCCCTATCTGATAAAAAGATTACTTCTACTTTAACATCAATTAGTAAAAGAGCTTGCAAAACATCTAACAAAATGACATCCATGAAGATTACCATTGCTGCATTTTTAGGTAGGTAAATAATTTCTTGTGAATTACACTGGACTGACCTTGTTGTTTAAAAGGTAATGGTCTTAAGACTATACTAAACTCAAAATAAGTAGAAGAAAGAAAATAATGGTGAAGTAGAAAAAATTAAAAAAAAAAGAAAAACACAAGAGAAAAATAAATGAAACCAAAGTTGATCTTTTGAAAAGATCAACAAAATAAAACACAAATTCCTAAAATCAGAAATAAAAGAAGGAAGGTTATCACTACTGACCTTACAGAAATCAAAGGATTCCAAGGAAATACTTTGAAAAAGTTTAGACAGTGTAGATAATGGAATGGAAAAACTCCTAACAAGATACAAAGCACCAAAATTAACTTAAGCAGATAACAAATAATCTGAATATATCTGTAAGAATTTCTACAAGAGCTTCCCACAGAGGAAAGCTGGGTACAGCCCTGTGACTAGCTCTACAGCCCAAGTGGCTTCACTAGTGAACTCTACCAAATATTTAAAGAGAAAAATGTATCAAACCTTCACAAACTCTTCCAGAAACAGTGGAAAAAAGAACACTTGACCAATCATTTTATGAGGCCAGAAACACCCTGACAGGCATCACAAAAAACCTACAAACCCTACCCTCATGAATGCAAACACAAAACTCCTGTACAAAATACCAGCAATCTGAAATTCCACAACAAACAAAAAGGATTATACATCATGACCAAGTAGGATTTATTCTAAGAATGCCAGACTGGTTTAATATCTGAAAAATCAATTAATGTATTATTAATAAACAAGAACATGATCTTCTCAAAAGATGAAGAAAAAGCATTTGACAACCTCCAATACCCATTTAAGATTAAATCCTCTCAACAATTGGGGGTGCCTGGGTGGCTCAGATGGTTAGGCAGCTGCCTTCAGCTCAGGTCATGATCTCCAGGTCAGCGGGGAGTCTGCTTCTCCCTCTCCCCCTGCTTGTGCTCGCTCTCTCTCAAATAAATAAATCTTTAAACAAACAAACAAACAAAAACCAAAACTCTCAACAAACTAGTTTGCCCTGATAATGGGCATCTACAAAATCCATGCATCTAAGATCACGCATTAAGGTGGAAGATTGACTGCCTTTCCCCTAAGATCAGGAACAAGGCAAAGATGTTCACTCTCACCACCTGTATTCAACATTCTATTAGCCAGTCCAGGGCAGAAAGGAGGGAAGGAAGGAAAGAAGGAAGGGCATTCACACTGGAAAGGACAAAGTAAATCCGTCCTTATTCACATATGACATAATCTTGTATGTAAAAAATCCTATGGAATTCATACACACACACACACACACACACACACACAAATAACCTAGAAGGAATGAACAAGTTCAGCAAGGTTAGAGAATACAAGATCAATGTACAAAAAACTACTGT